ATCAGCCTGATATCAGAGAGAAGGAAGAGAGAGGTTGAGGGATCCCTCCCTTTCTCTCTGGCATCATCTCTGGCAGTGGTGTGGCACCTGTTTGCAGGAAGGCCTTTCTCCAAAGCACAGCCTCCACTGAGCTGCAGTAACACTATTTCGTCCTACTACCCCAGGCTTCCTGGGAAGGTAAGGCTTCCTATTATTTCTAGTTCCGGTGTGTCTCAATAGCTCTTTTTGTTTCCTTTAATCTTTCTCAGACCATTATTTAATAGTCTTTTGGTTAAAGTTTTTTTTTTTAATTGAAAACATCTGAGTGAGATTTGCTTTTCCCCGAACAAGACTCTGATTGATATGTAATCCTTTTGGAAATATATCCAGAGAAGCAGATTCAAAGAACTCCCAAGGAAAACCACTTGTGGAATCAATAGATGTCACTGTGAAAATTTCTTCTTTGATTTGATCTGGATCCTTCACATCACAGTTTAAGTCTCATTCCATCTTGCCCTAGCTCTAGTGAGGATAAATATCATGTTACTGCCATTCACTGGGTACCAAAGCTCCATAGACATGGTAACTCTTCATGCAGAGGGTTGAAGAGATGGCATCTTTCTTTCCCGTAGCCTTGTTTTGCTCCTTTTTAATCAGAAAAGTTTTCTTTTTCTCCTTCTGACCTGACAGCAACACATTCTCTCAATAAACCCAGGAAATTCACTGTGTCTATTTATCCCACAGAGACAAGTCTCTCATCCCCCTTATTGTGTCTGGCAAGTACTCAGATTAATTGCACGCCCTCCGCAGAGGCTGAGCCACCACATTTAGCTGAGTGCACTAATAAAAGGATTATTATTTAACAGTTCAACCTCCATCAACTCACTTTTATCCTGTCTCCTTTAGTTGGTGAACAAAATTAATGAAGATGCTGTGGCCATGCCTGCCAGCTTCTATTTGCTATCTTCTTAGCAAATTCTTTGCTTTTATGTACTCCCTCTCAACTTGTAAGTTACTTTCATTCTCCAGATTGATGCAAAGATAGGTCATGACAATAGTTTGTGGGTGGCTGTCAGAATTGATGGCGGTTTGTGTGGGAAATGCATAGGTAGTTTGAAAGCTGTGGTTAGGATTCCAGATAGAGTCAACTTAAAAAAAAAAAAACAACTACCTCACAGGGAAAGGTCAAATCAAGTGTTTTAATAATGATGCCGTTATAATATATCTCATGCTTGAATGACCTGGGTTTGAAGAGTTGGAAAAATATGCAATATACCCGGCTCTAAAAAGGGCACCAAAATAATGTCATCTTTTGTGGGGTTGGGAGAGTGGTGGGTCAGAATCTTGTAGGGAAGGCAATGAGGTAGAGTGGAAAGGATGAAGGGTCAGGTGATTTGGGTTCTACTCTGGACAAAATCATTAACGTCTTTGGGCCGAGCATCTTCACCTGTAAAATGGGGTACAACTGGAGGCTTCTTTTAGTTCTACTATTAATAATCACCCCGGAGGTGTGTACTGGAATTACGATTAGCCCTATTATATGGAGAGGAAATTGAGACTTAGAGTCATTGAAAACATTGCCCAAGGCCACACAGTCAGAAAGCGGCAGAGCCTGCAAAGTTATAGCCGACAATAACTCACTCCAGACCTTGGTTTCCTGACCATGAGAGTTTCTACTTGCCTTGCAGGCAGCTGGAAAAAGTTCACTTTTACAGTATTTTTCTACATAAGAACAGTGTTTCAGAGATCTTCAAGGGCTCGTTCAAAGCCACATATCTAGTAAATGGTGGACCCGGGACATGAACCCGGGGTTGTCTAACTTCAGAGTCTAGGCTCTTAGCCATTATGCTAGATTTCTGCCTATGATGACAGACACCACTGTCTCGAAGGTGGTCTAGAGAATGTCTAGAGAATGCGATCAGAAGAGAATTCAGATTTATACCCAGTAAGCTACATAATTTAGGATTAAAGGAAGCAGAGTTCAGGTGTCTTAAATTCTGAAATATACCTGGCTCACCAGGGGGTAGGTGGGACTCAGGTCTTATTCCAGCACCAGCACAAAGCATAAGAAAGATGTGCATTTAAAGATTTTAATCAGAGTTCTGCCATTGTGTGAGCATATATGCAACTACCAAACACCAAGTGTGCACCATATTAGAATTTATTATAATACAAACAAGTCCAAACACAATAGAACATTGAATTAAGAAAATATGAACATTTACTATTTTTCTACTGTAACATTCTATTCCATTCTTTGAACCGGAATAGCTAACATTAGAGTCTCTTATTCACTTCAGATCGGCCCCCCAGGTTGGACCAGTAGGCACCAACTGTGCAAAGTAACCTTTTCCAATTGCCGAGTGTTTGCAAAATGAAACTTCATGCCTTCTCATGGTAGGTCTTTTATGGTTTGTCTGCCATCCCCCTCATCTCCTTCCCATGAGACAGTTCATTTCTTGGTTGTTCAATAAAAATACACAGTGTGTACGTGTGTGGCATCACTGCATGTCCAACTAAGGACACAGATCATACACAAGAGGGATGCTAGTTAACAGTCTTTCAAAGGGGCATCACAAAAACCTGATATAAGGCAATTGCTTAAGTGCCATCAACAGCAGCTGTTTACATGACAGGCTTCAAAATTCAAGGCTTTATTTCCGAAATTGACCTGAAAGAAACGGCTTAAAAGTTTGCTTCTAATTCTTGTCCACAATGATTACTATAAATAATAATAAATTAAAAGTCCTTAGATTATCTGAAATAAAGTTTAGGAGATATGTATTAACCTAAGCCAAAGGGCATTTGTATGCGTTTTAATCAGAAGACAACACCTCGCTGGATTGTCTTCAAGAATGGAACCTCTTTTAAATATTACGTTTTTCAAAATACAAAATACAGTCAGAAGGAAAAGAGATCGCAATACTACTTGGTACAGCCTCTATTGTTAAGAGAAGTAATAAATGAGTGTATGAGGAAAACATTCCAAATGTACACCCAGTTTTTACTTTTTAAACGTCAGTAATTAATTTTTACATACAACTAAAAACGTGGAGCAGAAAGCATTGAGATTGACATATATAGTTTCCATCTTACGTACATTCTCAAAAAGGAATTGCTTCATCTTTACAAATATTGCACTGTGACTCATTCTCAGATAGCTCAAACTAGCATTTTTTTTCAGAGCTATGCGTTTAAAAAAATAAATATATATTTATATATATTAGGTGTAGGTAGCCTTTGGTTAATGTTTATTCACAAGGGGGTGTGATGGAATTGCGTCATACGCACATTTGATGAACATGTATCGACTACACATGCTTGGCAAAAAAGAAAGAGAGAAATGCAATTTAAGGGACGTGGGGAAGTCTGCCCACCATTTCACTCAATGCTCATGCGTCCTGGGGAGAGCGTGACCTGGGAGATATGAATCTGCTCGTCCCTCAGTCAGACAACTTTCATGAGCCTCCTCTAATGGGAGTGTTTGGCGACACCAGTGTGATCCTAATGTTCTGAGATACTTTAGTGTCATACAATATGGTCCCTAAATGCAAGCCAACTCTGTCTTGTCCTCCACTGAAGAAATAGCAACCTTTTCCAATGCCGGAGGAAAATTTAGCTGAGTTAGGTTTTTTAAGGGGTAGAATATGATATGATCTCCAATACGGCTCCTTCCTGAGAACTTTGCGGAGGTCAACTGGGCTCTGCCAGTCTTTCGCCATTTACACTGTGGGACTAATCTTTGGGTAAGATGAGACTCTACTGCAGTCATTTAAAAGGAGGAGGAACTAGGATCATCAGGACAAACATGACCTAAAGTTATATTGAACGAGTACTGACAGCATTGGGCTGAAGTTTAGGGATTGTGGGGCATCAGGGCATTTTTTTTACCCCATTATTTATTGCAAATTCCCTTAAAAATGGTGGATGTCTTCCGAATTCAGGGACAGAAGTGCAGTAAAAATCCAGCCTAAGGAACCAAGTGTTCCAGGTAGACTGTCAGTTTTTTGTTGGATCACCAAAAATATCATACCGTTCTAAAATCATTTTGGAAGACTTCTTCCAGAATAGGGACAACTTCAAATACTGGGAATCTGGAAGAGAAGTTTTTTTTTTTTAATTTTTTTTAAAAACAAGATCAAATGAGAAAAATTCCAGCATGGTTTTCCTTTTAAAATACATCACTGGTACATAGGAGCCTAATAATAAAATCAAGTCTGTGTATGCGTGTGTGTGTGTGTGCACGTAAGTGGTAATTCCCAGGAAAGCCTCTATTAACTACATCCTAGAACTGTTCTTGCCTTGGACAGTCAAGGGGAGAATAAATAAATGAATTCATATTATCTTTTTGCAAAGGATCTGGATTAAATAGAATCACGGGAAACTGGTATCACCCTTTGGAGCCATTTGCATCAAAGGGCAGACACGCAGACCACACGGGCACCTTTTCCATGCCAGCTGTGTCTGCATTTGTGGCTTAATGACAACGCCAAGCTGGACCTTGGGGCAGAGCTGAGATCGCCTCCTTTCACACTGGAGAGCTACAGTTCCCGACCCTCGAAAATTAAATCCAGTCTGGAAGTCACTTCAAACGAGACAATTTGGTGAGGGCTTCAGCGAGCAAAGAGGAAGGATTGGCAGCTCTACATGTAAAAGGCTTCTCCAGGAAGCCCAACTGGCACCACAATAAGAAGCTGTTTTGGGTAGAGAGATCGTACACAGCTGACACAGGGATGGTCAAAATGATGGCAAGAGTTGGCTTATTTTTTTGTTTTTCTGGGCTCAAGAAATCCTCCTTTCCCCCCAACACAGGCAGGGTCTTTGTTTTGGAGGAGATAGATAAAATCTACACATAATAATGAATAGAAAGACTGCATCTTAGCCCCCAGGTCTGAGGGTCATGGTTACGTTGGTTTGGAGCCTTTCCACAGAAGCTCTGGCCTGTCCCCACAATGTCATTCTGCAGAAAGGGGTGCCAGGGCAGCTTCAAGACCAAAATCCTCCCTAGAGCAAAGGGCACCTTGGAAAATTCCCTAATTGGTCAGCATTGTTAGCTGCTGGGAATGGCACAGGGAAACGATGGATGAGCTTAGCTCTTGGAAGAAGAGTGTGGGCTCAGCTACGTGCTACTGTGGCTTGGTGTGTCACATAAATGAGCAGTTCCCAGTGACTGTGGATGGTGCCTAGGCTAAGTCATACACTATTTCTCTACCATGTGTCCTTACAGGCCACAGGATAATGACACAACCTCCAATGGCATCTTCAGACTGGTCGGAACTTTTGCTGTCAATGTGTTTTGGTGAAAATAAATGCAGAAATGACAACAAGATTCATGCTTTTCTTTCTTCTCTTCCATCTTCTCTCATCCACCAGTCTGAGGGTTACTCAGTATGCAGAGACAGGAAATCAGGTTAGCACTCTTCAAGGAGAGCTGTTCAGCCATGGGATGGGCCACATTCCCATCTGGAAATGGATTACACAGAGGCACGAGGTGCCAAACCTATGGGGTCATGGGGACACTTTTATAGGTTTTCCATTTTTGTCATACTGGTACACCAGCATCTTGATACAGTGTGAGTTGGCTGGTGAGATCCAGGGGCTACTTGTTATGGAAAAGTTATGGTTGGTGTAGAACTGCACAGGTTGCTTCTGGCACTTGAAGAAGGCCTTGAGAGTGGCGGCCGCCATGGTACGGAATCGCTTGCTGATGAAGCAATAGAGGAAGAAGTTGATGGCCGTGTTCAGAAGGGCCAGCATGTTGGCAACGTCGGACATAATGTGCACCAGCCAGCGGTTCTGGATGGGCGCCCCATAGAGGTGGTAGAGAATCATGATGATGCGCGGGGCCCAGAGTGTAGCAAAGATGGAGGTAATGGTAAACAAGATGGCGGTGGTTTTCCCTGTGGAGTAGCCACGGAGGCGAAAATTGCTTTTCCGCCTGAGCTTGTACACGATGATCGAGTTCAAGATGAAGAAGATGGAACAGGGCACCAAGTACACAGTGAAGCAGTGAATCCAGATAAGGACATGATGCACGGAGGTGCTGATGTAGTCTTCGGTCCAGATGTTGGGCCACCAGTAGTAGGGGATGCTGGTCAGGAAGCAGGTGATGTAAACACTGACAATGACTTTCCGGGTGCGGGCAGGGTAGGAGACCGTGTGGTACTTGAGCGGGTGGCAGACTGCGATGTACCGGTCAATGGTTAATGGAACAGTAATCCAAATGGAAGTGTGGATGGATGAGAATTCCAGCACTTCGATGATCTTGTCCGGCACCTGAGGCATCTGCGTGTTCAGGATGAAATCTTCCAACAGGAAGTCCACGAACACAATGAAAAAAAGGACCAAGATGTCAGCAGCAGCAAGTGCCAAGAGGTAGTTGTAGGAGGACTTCTGCCTCCTGGCCACCAGCTGCGAGAGGATGATCACTGTTAGGATGTTTGCTGTGGAGAGAAGAGAATCTGGTTGATACCTGAAGCAAGATGGCTTTATTGTCTACCAGGGGGCCCGAGACCTGGTGTAATGGGCACGCCCATGGAAATCATAGGGACTGAACCAATGCTTTTGAGGGCCAGTCTCTGCACTGTATACAAATTGCACCTCATACAACCATCTGGATACTAACTGACATACTATTTGATGTTCGTATTGTAGCTCATTTGTCCCTCACACAGTCAGGACAGGGCGGCTGCTACTGTCCTCACTTTCAGAAATGAAACTGGGGTTCAGAGAACTTAAGGAACGCACTTAGAGCCACACAGTTAGTAATTCATGGTGACAGGGGCCAAACCCGGATCCCTTAATCTCCAGTTTGGCTGCCAGGAGGATAGGGGGCTGGGACGGCATCTCCCGCTTCATGTGCTCAGGCAGAATACTGAACTATACGACCTCTTAAGAACCTTTAGAACTTGGAGTTTAAGACCTTTCCTTTTAAAGTGGATTTAGAATTGAAGGAGTAGAGAAGACCGTGACCTTTAGATTAATTTAAAAATAAATTATATTTATTTGTAGAATAAGTAATCTACACACATGGTACATAATTCAAGTTAGTAGCAGAGAAAAGTAAAATCTCCTTCCACTTTTCTTCTCCAAACATCCAAGTACACCTCCCTCAGGGCAATCATAGTTAATAAATAATCTGCGCTTATATATGTCTGTATAATATGTGTGTATATAGCTTTTACATAAATAGTAGCAAATATTATTTTTCTTGGGGTCAGAACTGCTTTGAAATGCATCCGTATCATTTCCGATCAGTTTGAAAAACAAACATCTCGTTGAATAAGATACATCTGGAAAGTCATTTAGGAACTCACTCTCTAGTGACAGCCCCATGGATAACATTTGGAAGCTCATTCTGCACACTTATTCTCATTAATTCTCACAATCAACCCTGAAATTTGGACATTATCAATCCCCTTTTGCAAACGAAGGTGGCAGGGAACTCATGTCCCTTTCTGAAGCTCGGTGGCAGGGCTGGAATCAAATGCTCTTTTGCTTGTGCACTTCTTAACATGTAATGCAGTAGTCTTGTGAGAAACACACCCCCAGTGTATTCATCACTGAACTTAAACAAATTTTAATATTTTGCCACATTTGCTTTCCTTTTTATTTAGGAAAGAAAAAAGACACTGTAGACACAGCTGAAGTCCTCTTTGGAATTGCTCCAGCCCTAACAAACTTACTGTAATTTATTTATTCTCTCTATATAGATATATTTATACACATACACACATAGATGTCTGTATAACTTATGTATAGACATCTATATGTGTATACATGTGTCTATATACAACAAACTTAAACTGGTTTTAGGGTTTTGCTGTTGTAAGCTGCTACAGTTAATACCTTGATATGACTCTTTATGAGAAGCAGCTACACGTGAGAGTTTCTCTCAGGTAGTACATGTGTAGAAATGTGTTTACAGTCTGTGCATCTTCACCTTTCCCAGATATTGCTGAATTGCCATGTAAAGTGGTTTTACTAATCTTCACCATCAGCAGCAGAGGATGAGAACCCTAGTTGCTCCGTAACGTCTCAGTGCTTGGAACTATCAGTTTTTTAAGTTGATGGTGTCCTTGTTCTTGCTCAAAGGACGTTGAAATAACACTTTGAAGATACAAAAATGTACAAAAGAATTTCAGAAAGTGATGCAATACAGAAAAAAACCAAGGGATGAGACAAATTGATGGAGGGGGTTCTTTTTTCAGACTGGAGATTTGAATTCAGTTAATAATGAAGAGAGGGGATCTGCCTTAAAAAGATCCATGAGGAAAGAATTCTAGGCAGGGGGAATGGCAAGTGCAAAGGCCCTGAGGTGGGAATGAGCTTGGAATTCGTGGAAGTGAAAGAAGGCCTCTTTTCAGTCCTATTATCGTCCTTATTTTACAGGTGAAGAGACTGAGGCTTGGATTTTTAGGTTATCTGCCCAAAGTCACAAACTGAGTAAGTGGCAAGCCGAAGGTAACTCTAGCTCTGTCTGACTTTATGGTACGTCAAGTTCTGCTTTCTTTGTTTTGGGGCATAGAGAAGGCTCTTCAGCTGGAGGAAAGTGATTCCTGTTCCTAGGTTGCCCTTGACTTACAAAAGTGCCATCATTTCTCAGAACCTCTTTTTCTCCCATTCATTAAACAATGCCCACACTGTCTCATGTCCATGCTCTGCTTCCAAACCTATAAGGGGGCAGGAATGAATAAATGCTAGGATCTCCCCACAAAAATAAGATATACAGCCATCCCTCAGTATTCATAGGGTATTGGTTCCAGGACCGACCTGTGATACCAAAATCCAAGGATGCTCAAGTTCCTTATACGAAATGGTGGAGTGAAGACGACCCTCTGCCCCCATGGGTTCCACATCCATGGATACAGAGGGCTGACTGTATATATTCTGCAGACAATGACTCTTCGCCACCATCTCTTACTTCCTCATTGAACCCTGTTTTTCATGTGGTGCTAAAATTTTTCCATATCCAAACTGTTTATCAGGCAAAGCATCAACTCCAGATGAAACTGCCAGGTAATCATATCTGACATTTCTTTAAGTTTCAAGTAATTGACTCTCTTGAGAAACTAACCCGCAGACACTGAGTTTCCCATTTCTTGCTTGCAGGTAGATTTGCCCCCAAGGCAAAATCAAGAACACTTAGGACATCCTTTGGATGAGAGAGATGTGTGAGCCATAGAGACCCAGAGGGGAACAGAACAATGCTTGTGTATTGATTTTCTGAGAAAGAAATGGGAAGGTAGAATTTGTGACTCTTAAGGTTTGACATTTGCTGTAATTCCCCACATGGAAAAATCGTTTCATTTCCACCGTGGCAGTTTTTTCCCCGAAGAAAAGGAGTGGTGTTGACAGGGTCCATGTGTATTTATAAAGGGTTAATAAGCAAAGGAACCCGAGTCATCACTGTCTGAAATTCCATTTCTCAGCTTTTTTTTTTCTCAAACTAACTGCCCCACACATCTGTTGTTGTGGAAACCCAACCAATCCCATCCAAGCAAGTCCCCATGAACTTCACAGTCAAAATGTCATCGCTTCTAAAAAGCAAATCCTTTCTGTCAGTGGTGTCGTTGGACAGGTTTGAGCTCCTGGGTGGTAAATACAAAGCCCGTGTTCTGTGATGGCAAAGCTTCTTGGTTATATTCTTGGGGGGAATTCGTTTTCTCTGCTTTGCAGCTTTCTGTGCTCAAACTTGAGAGCATTTGGGGAGTGGGTGAATGAACACGACAGGCTGGGCTGGCAGAGCCCAGCACTGAACGGCCTACTGGTGCAGAGGGAAAGGATCAAGATCTTCCAAAGGTATTTCTGTGCCCGTGAGGACAAAAAGATCCCTGTGGATTCCTTGGAAGAGCCTTGATTGGGAGTTCTGAATTAATATTTCTTAAGTCTAGTACATTTTTTTTGTCTTTGAAAATTATTTTTAATTACAAAAATGAAATATACTTGTGAAAATTAAACATATCAGTGCATAATAATGTCATTATCAGCTCACTTTTATTGAGTATTTACTTCCAAACATTTTATTCACAATACCTCACTTAATCTTTACAAACATCCTATGAGGTTTGGAATTATTATCTGAGAGCATTGAGGCTCAGAGAGTTTAAGTAACCTACCTGAGGTCACACAGTAAGCGAGTGGTGAGCCAGGACATTAAACCAGGCTTTTTGACTCTTGAGTTTATACATTTAACTATTATATTAGACAGTGGAAAGTGAAAGTTTGCCCCAATCACATTTTCTACAGATATCGTGGTATCTAGTCTCTTAGATGGACCTCAGTGAATCACATCTCCTGGTATTCATGCCCTGGTGCAGTCTCCTCCCCTTGAGCTGGTCTTGTGACTTACTTTTGACCAGTAGACTATTTGGGGAGTGCCACTGCATAGCCAGGTTTCAAGTGGGCCTTTTGAAGACTTGCTTTGGATGCTCCATCTTGGAACTCAGCTGTGAGAAGGCCAAGCCACATGGAGGGGCCTTGTGTAGGGAGTCTGGTTAAAAGCCCCAGGTGAGCTCATAGCTGACATCCAATGTCACCTGGCAGCCATGGGAGTGGGCCCTCCTGGAACCCCACCTGCCTCCTGGCTGTAACTGCATGAGAGACCCTGAGCAAGAACAATCTATCAGCCCAAGAACCATGATAAATAATCATAAGAGATTTGTTAACCATTTGGTGTTTATATCTCGAGGATATTTCTATGCCTACAATTATAAATAATTAGCAACAATAATTATCATCACAAAAGGAGATCATGCAATAATACGGTTGTGCCCACTGACGTTTTTAAATTAGAAATAAATCATGGATTTTTTTCCTCTGTCAATAATGTTCATGAAATATTCACTAATGGCTGGACATCACTTATTTTATTTTGCTTTATGGAATTATTTTGGCCACTACAGAGCTTCATTAAAAATCTTTGCATATTTCTGTAGAGTAAGTTCCCAAAAGTAGAAAGGCTAGTTTAAAGGGTAACATGCATTTTTCTCTTCATCTGTCTCTTTTCCTTCCCTCCCTCCTTTCTTCCTAAAGGCAGCTCAAAGGATTTGTAAGAAGGAAAAGTGCTCAAGTTGGAACTATAAAAGGATTGGGGTTAGACATCAAGAAGAACTTTCTGATTGCAATGGCAGTTCTATGGGCAAGAGCAGGCCACTGGCACCACAGTTGCTTGGTTCATGCAGGTCTTCAGAAAAGAACAGAGTTATATATCTGGGCTGATTAAATTCCTGGGGTTACCTGCTGCAAATCCGCTTTCTCTGCATCCTCAATTACGTTCTTGTGAATTTCTAAAATGAGAGTCATTCACCCATTTCAGTCACCATCCCCTGTGACTTAAATGCATCCCTTCCCCTTCAAGGTGCCTATCTTTTGCACTATAAAAGTCAACCCTCGTGACCTACAGACATGAGGACCCCTGGCATTGTGCACAATTGCAGTGGTGTTATTTATGCTGCTGCTGGAAGGTGCTTCAAGGACAGGTATCTAGGAAAAGCAATTTCTAAGCCTCCCAGGCAAGAAGTCAGCACTGCCCTTGTTTAGATCAGCTGGGGAGTGGGGACTGAATTGTGTGATGGGGCCTTGCCTCCTATGGGCTGTCACCTCC